GCATAAAATCCCTTCCAAAATGTTACAGCCAAAAGCCTGTGGAAATGCCACGTCCTTGGAGTACCTTGGTTCCTGAGGTTCCCAGGAAGCCCCTCAGCCCCAGGGACACATGTCCCCACCCGTTGGGATTAACCAGCTTGTAGCCACACTCCAGCACAGGACTCCCCAATGTCCAGGGACTGGCCGCAGCCCAGACCCGGCCAGGGCAGGACACAGCAGGCCTTGCTGGCCTGTTGTCCATGCTCCAGGTTGCTGGGACAAGCAGCTGCCTTGGAACATCAGTGTCCCCTTGGGAGAACGGAGCAGCCAGTGTTTAGGGTCACTTCAGGAAACAGAGCACACCCTGAGCTCTGGCACCTACCTGGCTGGAGGGCGAGAACCGGATAAAGAGAACTCGTGAGCTGCGAAGCAAGGAGTCTGCCCGGATCTTTGCCGCTGTGAGGAAGGCAGACAGCGCACACAGGTGTACTGTGGCAGCGCCGGGGCTCAGAGGAGCATTGTGGGAAGTGGGAGGAGTCCCAGAGTGGTCTAATGCGATGCACGTGCGACCAAGCATGCCATGGCAGCAGGGAGCCAGAGGTGTGTCCCCAGCGTGTGTCCCAGCAGGGAGGGACTCTCTGAGGACAGAGTCACGAGGCAGCAGCAGGCTGAGGGCTTGAAGCAGCTGGACGCTGTGCATTCAAGTTCAGACTTGGAGGGAGGGGCAGGACCAGGGGCTGCCAGGTGCGACTGTCTCATGTCCTCATCCCGCAGGGTAGCTCTGACTGCAGCTGGGGTACCGGGGCCCCTACAGTCAGCAGCTGATGGAGGTGGGAGGCACCAATGTCACAGAAACTGCAGAAAAAAGGGCCACGTGGCTGGCGCTTTGCAGACTGGCAGGTCAGCAATAAACCAGGTTTGCCATTGGCTGGACCCTGATCCCATGACAGTATGGCCTGGGGCAGAGCTGGGGGGACTGTGCGAATGAGCTCCCTCCCCACCAGGCTTCACCATCATACATTTCCTACCAGTATCTGCTTGCTCTCCCCCTCCCAGGGCTGGGAGCCAGGAGCAGGAGTGGGAGGATGCTGAGTCACACCCCCACAGGATATGAACACCACCCCTCTGCTCTGTTGGTCTGATGCTAGGAGCGACCCCGTGCCTCAGGACCTTGACACCCACTGCTAAGTTAGCTCAGCTCCTGTGCAGAGGTGCCAGCACATGCGCAGTGAAGAGGTCCCCCAGGCCGCAGACCTGACCCAGACCTGGGTCCATCATCCCAGGCGACCAGGAGACCATGTAGCGTGATGTTCAGGAAGCTGGAGATCTGAGGGTTTTGTTGTTGTTGTGTTTTTGGAAGATAGCTCTTTTTAGAAGTTTTTTTTCTTTCTTTTTAATTAATTTATTGGAAAGGTAGAATAACAAACAGGATGGGAGAAAGATGGAGAGACACACACAGAACACTTCTGCACACTGGTTCACTCCTTCAAGTGGCTGCCAGAGCCAGCCAGGGGCCTGGAACTCCAGTCAGGTTTCCCACGCTGGTGGCTAGGATGACCCAAGCACTGAGCCATCCTCTCCCGCCTTCCAAGCACAGCAAGCAGGAGGCCGGACTGGAAGCAGATCAGCTGGCACAGCGACAAGCACACCGCTATGGAATGCCAGGCTTGTAAGAACAGCTGAATCCCCCGAGCCAGCCCCGTGCTGGGAGGTTTGGCCTCTTTTGAGCGGAAGGGATGGACAGTGGGCGGGGGGGGGCAGTCTTAGGATCTGAGGAGAGAAAAGTCTGGCTCAAGGCAGAGACCTCTGTTCTGGGTGCAAGAGAAGACGCCCTCAACGGGAGCATTCCTAGGCTAAGTACAAAGGGTTCTGGAGCAATCTTCAGGAGGGAAGTCAGCATGCAGCTAGTAGAGCGATTTTTCTGGAACTCCTGTCCTGCAGCCAAACAGAAGGCGGTGGCTGGTGCTGGGCGGGGCAGAGGGATTCCGGGCTTAGCAGAGACGCGGAGCACCTGTTAGACTCCTGGGCTAAGTGTCCATGGGCTAAGTGTCACCACCGAAAGCCCCCTGGCTCCATGTGCGTGTGCGTGCACCACCTGGCTTTCTCTGGACAGGACTTGCAAAGTAGCCCCCAGATGAGTGTCCAGTGAGTCTGACCCGCCCAGAGCCAGCGTCGTCACCCAACCCCCAGGTCTGAACCTGAGTCCTCTGTGGCACATGGAACCTAGAGCCTTGCTCATTTAATCCTGGTGCTGTTCCCCCTTGCCCCCAGGGACCTGCGGGACCCAAGTCCAGGCCTCGTGACACCTCTCCGCCACTTCAGCCCACATGGTGGTTGAAGTTGGGCAGGACAAGAGAACCTCACTGCAGGCGGCAAAATTGATTGGATGCACTTGGCTTTAGCCTGGGCGGCCATGGGAGGGAGCCCCACTGACCGCAGTTCTGCCAAGTGGCCCTGCATGGCTCTTCTCACACGGATGGGGGCTGTTCGTGCTGTTGGAACAACCACTTCTTCAGCCCTGACCCCAGAGTCCAGCGACGGCTGCAGAGGGGACAGGGACCGCTAAGCGCCTGGGCCACCCTCTCTGTTCTTCCAAGTCTCCCACAAGACAGCGACAAGGCCGCACGCCTTGACTGCAGGCCCTGCCGGGGGTGTTTATGGGATCCCAAAGACAGAGGCAAAATCAAGTTCACAGCGGCGAGCAGCACAATGGCTTCTTGGGTTCCCCTGGCAATGCCCGTCATGCCAGGTGGAGCAGTAAACACAAAGCTCTTTTGGCCCCAAGGAGCCAGGACAGGACAGTGCGAAGTGTCCTGCAGTTGCTCTCTAAACTGAGAGGGTACACAAAGCAACCCTGCCCCTGAGGAGGCTGGAGGGAACCAGACACACATGTCAACAGCCTTGGATTTTACACAGATCATATCAGGAATGAAGGACATCAATCATGGCTACTTTGAGTCCTTGGGATTGTTGTAAAGTGAGGTGCAAACCAAAATTACAATTATGACGAGAGAGGGACACGGCTGCAGCTCTCCAGGGCTGTGGTTCCGGCGGGCGCAGGAAACTCCTGCCAGGATAAACACAGCCGCTGGGCACATTGGAATATTCTGAGCCAATTTCCCTGCAGGGTTTGTTCAGGTGTGCATTGCTGGCCTCCACCCACTAGAGGCCGCTGGTGCCTCCCAATCCAAGCCGACAAAGCCAAGTGCCTGGGGACGTCCTGGTTGAGAACTTTGGGGTAAGCAGACACAGCCCCCTGCCCATGACCTTAGTTAGCTGTGGGCATCAGGGAGTGTTCCCGTCCCCGGGGGGAGGGGGGGACGTTCCCATTGCGTGCGAATTCAGAATGGCAGGTCCTGAGTTGATTTCTAGTGAACAGCTTGTTCAGTTAAAACCTGATGCCGGGGGTGGGGGGGGGGGTTGGGGGGGGTGGGGGGGTGGGGGGGGTGGGGGGGTGGGGGGGGTGGGGGGGGTGGGGGGGTGGGTGGGGTTCGGTGTGGTCTAGCAGCTAAAGTCCTCGCCTTGAACGCGCCCGGGATCCCATATGGGCTGCAGGTTCTAATCCTGGCAGCTCCACTTCCCATCCAGCTCCCTGCTTGTGGCCTGGGAAAGCAGTCGAGGACGGCCCAAAGCTTTGGGACCCTGCACCCTTGTGGGAGACCCGGAAGAAGTTCCTAGATCCTGGCTTTGAATCGGCATAGCATTGGCCGTTGAGCTCACTTGGGGAGTGAATCATCAAGTGGAAGATCTTCCTGTCTCTCCTCCTCTCTGTATATCTGACTTTCCAATAAATAAATAAATCTTTAAAAAAAAAAAAAAAAACCTGATGCGGGTTGGAGCCTCGGGTCTGGCGTCCATAAACTTCCTGGCAAGGGCCAGATGTGCAAGTTTCAGGCTTTGGGGAGGACAGCCAGCCACAGCCCAGGTGCAAACAGTGGGTGTGAATGCACTCCAATACAGCACAATTTGAATTTTTACTATTTAAAAAAAAATTTTTTTTTTTTTTGCAGTCACAAACTGCTACTCTTTGTTAGATTCCTTTGTATCCACTTAGAAAGGCAACGCCATTTTTTGAATGCATGGCCCTCCACAGGAAGCAGGCCTGGGATTCAGCTCCAGGACCAAAGTTCACAGACCCCTGGGCTGCCAGCAGCCTGCAGCAGCAGTAGCCAGGAGCAAGCTGGGGTTCCTGACACAGACCTGCCCACACCTGGGGCAGGAGTCCTGTGGCAGTCTCTCCTCTCTCGCATCTCCTGCCTCTCCCAACCACCGCACTCTTGGCATTTTCAAACTGCTGCATCCTAAGACACCATTTTCCAACCTATACACCAATTGACTTCTTTGCCAATCTTCTAGAAGTTTCTATTACTATAAAAGAAAAGCCACCAGTAGGGCTCTACCGTTATTGTCTGCCTGGTTCCCAGAGACCCCAGAAAAGTCTTTACAAGAATAGCGTCTGTTTTTCCAGTGACCTTGTCTGACAGGAAGCAGAGAACACAGCTGAGACCCTGGGTGGGGCCAGCTGGGGTCTGGATGTGGCCAAGGCAGTCACCAGGGACTTCTCCGTGTGCGCAGTACCCAGGGCCTGTGAGTGCTCAGGAGAGCTTGGCGTGTGGTCCCCTATGCAGTAGGAGTAGGGGCTCCCACGAGACCCCCACTGGGTCATCACACATAGGGGTAGCGCCCCGTACTCTGGGGGAGCACAGGTGAACGGGGCTAGTGCCTGAAAAGGCTGCTGGAACCAGTCCTTGACCAGTGAAGGCAGTGGCAAGGGGTGCAGGTTCCCAGACGCTGCCCAGCTGCCTGTGGGAAGAGGCCTTTTCAGGGTACGCTCAACAAGAAGCCCCGGGTGCCATGCCAGTGCGAGGGGGTCATGACCCCATGCAAAAGCAGTGTGGGGTGGATTTCTGTTCCCCAGCATGGGTTCAAGACAGAAAAGCAAGGAAGCCTGGGAGGGCAGGGAGGTCCTGTTGATCCTGTCACACTGGGTCTCCGAGACCTCTTGCCACACCATGTGGCCTTCAGAGCTTGCTCTCAGTGTGTCCTGGGAGGACTTTCAATGCAAGAAATTCTCTGGTTGTCACTGAATTTTTCAAATACGGATTTGGGGTGCCTTCCTTCCCGAGCTCAGGAGCATAGGGGTGAGGTTGTGCCCTGGGAGCAGGGGGTTCTGTCAGAACTGGGCCCTCCACCCCACTCCTCCCTGGCGGACAGTCACGCCTGTTGGGGGAGGTCACATATTCGTTCCTTTCTCCTCCTGAAATGCCTTCCTGACCCTTCCTGGCTTCCTCTGAGGAAACGTCTTCCAGAAAATTCCCAAAGTTCACCACCAACTTGTCAATCAGGTCATGGGGGTAAGAATATGATTTTAAGATCATGTCTTTGTCTGTGTACACGGAGTCATCATCCTTCAGGTATCGCTTGCCCTGGAAAAGAAAAAAGGAGATACCTCAGATGGTCATTTTGGGGAAACTGAGGCTGTTACCGACAGTCATTAGCCCCTCCCAGGCTCACAGTGGTCATCTCAGGGCCTGCTGTGCGAGCTCAGTGAGAGCACCCCACTTCCCACAGGCTGGTGCCCTGCCTTCTGGCACTTTCAGAGCTCAATGCTACCTGCCCCCCAATCCTGTGGCCACAAACCCTCACTTTTGATGGAAACATCAGCATCAGGGCTCTAAGAATGAGCCCACAGTCTCAGTGCCCAATGTCAGCACAGGGCACCCCGCCCCCAGCAGCAGCGGTGTCTTTGCTGTCTCTGTACCCCCAGGGCCTGGGTTGAGAGGCTAGCACAGTGCTCAGTGTATGACGAATCAGGCCAGACCGATGACAGAGTGTGCAGAAGGCACTGTAGTCATCAGACAACACTGCCACAGAACCTAGAAGCTCTTCATGTCCCATCGAACAAAGAGGAAGGTAAGGAGAGTGATACAACACTAACAGGGGAGCAGGGACCAGAGCTGAGGCTGTGGGGAACAAGTGTCCCGGGTCACAAAGACTCCTGGGGCCAGGGGTCCCAGCTGGTCCATGCCTCAGACAGCTTCCTGCTAACGCACCTTAGAAGGCAGTGGGTAGTGGCAAGTGCTTGGATTATGCCACCCACCTGGGAGAGCCAGATGGAGTTCCTGACTCCTGGCCTTGCTCTGGCCCAGACCTGACTATTGTGGGCTTGCGGAGAGATGGGTGCAGTGAACCAGTGTCTTGTTCTTATTCTCTCTCCCCTAATTTTTCAATAATACAAATGTAAGGTTATATTTGCCTTATTTCTGTTTCAGTGAGATATTAATGCCTAACAATCATGCCACAGAGACAGAGAGAGCCAACCTGCACCTGCAGCTTCACTCCCTGTAAGCCCACAACAACCAAGGCTGGGTTGGGCAGAGCCTGGAGCCAGGAGGCCAACCCAGGTGTCCTACGTGGCTGGTGATGATCCAGCTACCTGACCTAGCCCCACTGCCTTCCAGGATCTGAAAGAAGCAGGAAGTTGGGATTGGGATCTGGAGCCAGGAAATGAACCCCATGTGTTCAGTATGGGAGGCATCCCATACTGTGCCCTAACTGGCATCCTAACTACCGGGCCAGCATGCTGGCTCCCTCTTGCTAATCCCACGGGATAGACAGTAAGGGCAGAGCCAGTATCCTCCTTAGTTTCTAGGACCAGTTCCGTGCTGGCAAAGAGCCCAGTAAAGCTCTTTCCTCTGGCCCAAAGCACAAGACCATGTTCCAGGAAAGATGATTCCAATGGTGTAGTCAGCTGCTTGCCTGGGTCTTTGAAACCTTGAGTCCTTCTTATGGGAAGCCTGAGGGAATCTCTGCCCAGTATTCTTTCCCACCTCCAGCCACCCTGCCACCTCCCACAGTCAGCCTGCACACTGGTTTCTTTAATAATAATGTTGAGTCTTTACCTTGAAATCATCTTCATGCCACGAAGCTATACTACTTTCAGCAGGGTTGGGCACAACAGGCCAGCACAGGTGAGTCAGTTTGCTAAGGAGACAACACAAGGTGAGTCCAACAAGCATTTTCTATACCCTGCATGGCTGAGTCCAAGCATTGGGGCTCAGCAAGGGCACCCTGATGGGCTCCCTGTTAGATAAGGGCAAACTCGCACGGGGTCCTCTGCAGGATGTCAGGGGAAGAGACCTCACCCTGCACAAAGCTATCCCCATCCATGCTCACTCCCCTGCCCCGTGTCCCCACGCAGGAGGACACCATCACACAGTCATTCAGACTGACTGTCAGGAAGGTCACCTCCTAAATCTTACAGGTTACCCATTCTATGGTTTCCACAGGGTGCTCCCAACCAGCGTGACTTCAGAGCCACTTAGAACTGCAGACTCTTGGCCTTCACCCCAAACCATTGGATCAGAAACCCTGGGGGGTAGGGCCTGACCCCAATGCATACTGAAAGTAGAATTCCCACTGAAGTATGATATCAGATGTTCCACCACTGCCTAGACCTACCACGTCATGATACATTTAAATCACAGAAAATTAAACTTGTAACTATTATGAAGGAACTATACTACTGTAATAACATGGAAGGACAATAGGAGGGGAAATAGGGGGCAGGAACAACTATACATGCAGAACCATCTCATGGAAAGTAGTAAATATATATGAATAATTTAAAAAGAAAAGTACAAATAATAAAACAAAAGCAGACGAAGTGCGATGTGCATAATGGACAAAGGCTGGTGTTGATGATTTGGTGGCAACACAGTTAAGTGACGTTAGCTTGACTATTCACTAAATGCAGCAGTGTGTTAGAGAAGGCCACGGCTTCTCTGGCCCACTGGGGACAGAGTTCTGCCAAGGAGGGATCGTCAGGGCAGCTTCAGCCACTGTGGGCAGAATTTGCAAGAACCCAAATACAACCTTCTTCTCCTACAGTAGCTAGGGCAGGGAGAACACAGGTGCATGCAGCCAGCCCTCAGATGCTGAGCCACAGGAGAGCAGGTTTCTACAGGCATGTGACTGGCCGGCATGCTGTGTGCATGGCACATGCCCTGCTACACACCCCGCTACACAGCTGCACACATGCTATACAGCCCTGCCACACAGCCACACATGCACCACACAGCCCTGCTACATATCTGCATGTGCGCTATACAGTGCTGCTACACAGCTACACGCCTTCAACACAGCCTGCCCCCTGCTCTGCCTCTTGCTGCTCTCAGGGGCTCCTGAGGCACTGAGAGAAGGGACCTGTTGTCCAACTCTAGTCCCCAATGACAAATGCAGCAGGTTGGCCTGTAGCCAGCTGGACACGCCTGACCTCTCTAAGGTTTATGCTTGGACACGGAGCTGAGTGGGAGTGAGACTTCTTGCATGGTCAGAATTCAAACAAGCCCTAGTGTGGGCTTCAAACAGGTCCCAAATGAATACATGAATGGCCGCTGCCTTTGTGGTGGGGAGCCCTCTCCTACAGCGCCCAGGAGTCCGTCTACCCTTCATGCCCTGCTGCCAAAGGCGCCCACTGTTGCCCGTACACACTCACTTGGGTTTCCGGAGACTGTACATCACAGTGAGGACAATGAGGGTAAGAAGGCCTCCTCCAACCACGCAAGTTATCAGGACAATCTCAAGGACATCTTGGGGGAGAAGACAAGAGCAGGCAGGAGTAAGCCAAGTACCTCCATTTCTTGACAAATATCAAAGATTAACTTTTTCTTCCAGTTGTTTCACACATTTCTAAATTTTCTTTCCCTTAGATCTAACTTCTTTTCCTTCCAGTGGTCTTCCCTGTACATCTAATACTGATACATTTTATGTTCCCCAGGGCCGACTCCCAGCTTCATCCAGTCAGTGAAACCTTACTGAGCACTTACTAACTGCCAACACTATGCTGACTACTAAAGCCAGCAATCAGCAGCAAGTGCCCCAAATCCCCGCTCCTGCGGAGTTTATACTCTGGTCAAGGACTCAGAGAACAACTAAGATTATTTCAGGGAAAAGGGTTTGCAAGATGAAGAGTCACTAAAGTGAGGTGAAAGGGAGCCCAGCAGGGTAAGATTGGGTGGTCTGGAGAAAGTGAGGTCTGAGTTGGAAAAAGGAGCCACACAAGCAGAGAACTGGCAGAAAGACGCCCCCGGCAGAGGGGGCCGTTCTGGGGCAGGTGCAGACCAAGGCGGAATGTGGTAGGAATCCAGGTTGTTGTGGGACAGATGAGGAAGGGCTCTGAGAGTGACAGTAGAGAGTTTGGGATTTATTTAAAGCAGAACAAAGTCGTGGATGGGTTTCAAGCAGGGGCTGTCACTTAGAGAATGGTTTACAGAAGACCCAAAATGACAGTGGGGCGATCTACAGGCCAGACCAGGGCACTCTTAGGCTCCAGGGTGTGTGCTTGCCTCCACCCTGACCCTTGGAGAAAATTCCATGAGTTGACACAATCTGTGCACTTTCTATCAAAGAGTTTCAGGAAGGCAATCTTAGTTCATAGACACAGAAAATGTTTTCTGGGTACAACACATGACTACACTCACATTTTCTGGAACCCTATTACTATTTGATATGTAAATGATAAAATCTTTCAAAAATGCCTCAAGCAGACAATTTTTAGCTTGCATCAGTTATTGCAAAACCTGGCAATATTCCTGCATTTTTCATCCAAAAGGATGTTCTGTCTTTAAAACAGTTTTAGTGCATCCTTAAAAACCATCTCTCTGCCATTCGAGGACTTGGCAACATCAGCCTGCCTCTCCCCACACTCCTTCCTCATGTTTCATCTTCCCCCCATTCCATCGTCTCCCTCTCATCCATTTCCCTCCACCCACGAGCAGATGAAACTGTCACATTGCACCTGATTTGTGGTATCTGTTAACTTGTTTTGCTCCTTATTAACACAGAAGTTGGCACATCAAATGTATGTCGTTTTGCTCAAAAAAATAAAAATCCATGAACAATGGAGCTAAGCCCCTTCCCGAGGGTCATTGGCCTTTGTTCACTCAAGGTTTTCCTTCCAAGGCCCTAATATGTAATATTCTTTGACACCTGATGACTGTGACCCTGGGGACAGCCTCAAAGTGAGGACTGGCTTGGTGTTGAGACTTGCTATGAACTTGATCGATCTTCTGTGGGCTGATCTGGCCTGTCCATGAGGAAGTTTTCTAAATTCAGCTGTCAGTTTTCTTGTCTTCCTCTCTCTCTCCTCACACACCTGCCTTTCTGAAGTTCTTCTCACTCAGCTACCTGTCCTGTCACTTGGGTTTTGCCTTCATTTGGCTGTGGTTATTTCTGCTTGACCTAGGGTCAACACCAACAAGAAGTACTCAGGATTTCAAGGAGAGACTCACTCATTGACAACGTCTTGAAGTTTATACTGGTCCCATTCTTGCCCCCAGCACTGGTGCTGGCCATGACTACAACAGTGTAAGAAGTCTTCCGTTTCAGAGACGCTAGATCATATTGCAGAACGCTGGAGTCAACCATCTTGGCTAAAGGAGAAATAATGAGAGTCAAACATCCAGCCAAGATGGGCTGAGCATTATGTTTGAGTGGCTCCAAGAGCTTTGGAACCTGCACCCCCAAGCTTAACCATCTCATCCTCTAACCCCTATCCATGATGTACATGATGTGTACTGGTCAAATTGGGATAACATTTCCCTCTCCTCATTTCCTTGACATTTGGAACTTGCAAATTCCTCTCTTCAAAGAGCTTATAAAATATATGAGAGGCCACTGTGGTGGTGGGTGGAGAAATCATACCACCTCTAAAAATATGTATAATTAGTACTGTCAAGAAAAAAAAAAAAACAAAGCAAACCAAAAACCTTTTTAATGTTTAAGGCAAGCATCGAGGCACAGCAAGTGGAAGCTCTCACTTCCAGTGTTGGTTTAGGTCTGGCTGTTTCACTTCCAATCTGATGTGCCACCGAAGGTAGCAGAGCTGTTGCAAGCACATTGGCCTCCTCTACCCACGTAGACCCAATAGAATTTTTAGCCCCTGGCCACATGGAGAGTGAAGTAACACTCTCTCTTCCTCTTTGTCATTCTGCTTTTCAAATAAATAACTGCATCTGTCTACAAAGAAATGCTAAAAACTCTGATTCAATCTTTTACACATTGAATACATGTATCAAATGATCAACTATCTCACAAAAAATGTACAATTAAAGTAATTTTTAAAAGTCTTTCAGGAGCTAAAACTTCAGAAACTCTTAAAAGGCAACATAGTACACATCTTCCCGACTTGCATTTTTCAACGTCTTCTCCTGTGTGACATCAAGAGCACAAGGAACATCGTGCTAAGTGAAGGAAGTCAGGTACAAAGGTCACATATTGTATGGTTATTACTGTATGAAATACTGAGGATAAGCAATCCACATAGAGACGTCAAGTAGTTTGGCGATTGCCAGGGAATGCAAGAGGAGAATAGGGAATAGCAAATGAATGGATTTAGGGTTTCTGTTTGTTGCTGAAAAGAAGTCCTGGAAATAGAGGGTGGTGACAGATGCTCAACCCTTTAGATGTTCTTAATGCCACTCAAATATAAACTTCTTGTTTTTAAAAGATTATTTATTTTTACTGGGAAGTTAGATATACAGAGAGAAGGCGAGACAGAGAAAGATCTGTCTGCTGATTCACTTCCCAAGTGGCTGCAACGGCCAGAACTGAGCCAATCCAAAGCCAGGAGCCTGGGGTTTCTTTCAGGTCTCCCCTGCAGGTATAAGGTCCCAAGGCTTTGGGCTGTCCTCAGATGCTTTCCCAGGCCACAGGCAGAGAACTGGATGGGAAGCAGGGCAGTTGGGACATGAACCAGCACCCACATGGGATCCCAATGTGTGCTAGGCATGGACTTTAGCCACTAGGTTATTGTGTCAGGTCCCAAATATATACTTCTCAATGTTTAATGTATTATGTGTACATTACCATAGAAAAAGAAATTAGCCTAAATAAGTACATAGACATAGCCCAGAATTTGGGATGTCAGAAGGCACTGTGGGCTAAGGATGACTTGATGGTGGGCAGAAATCATAATTGAGTGTCCTGCACTAGATAAGTGGCACCTGTCAGACTGTGCCCCTCTGCTCTTTAAGCCAGGCTTACCCCTTGGTAGCAGTCACAGAGCTCACAGGCAGTAAATCTGCTCAGAGCCTGACCAGGCCTCATATCCACTCCTCCCCTTATCACAAACCCCTCACGTATCATCACTCAACCCTCAGTTAACCTTCACCTCCAAAACAAGAGGGTGCTCTGGGTCCCGTTTTTAGCAGGTGGTCGAGACTGCTGGTCATTAATCCCTACAATAGGGCTGTACCCACTGCGACCTTGGCTTGTAGGGGTTTTTTTTTCTTTCTTTTTTTTTTTTGTCAAATTTGATTATGGGCACACTTACAGAATTCTTCTCCATCTTCAGACTGGCAAAATATGGTGTAGTTGCTGATGAAGCCATTTCTCTGATGCTTGGGGATCTCTTCCCATGTGATTGTGGCTGTCTTCAGACCAATGTTCTCCACCCTGGTCACAGGTCCATTTGAGGGAGCTTGAGATGACAGTGAGACAAATGGTCCACACTCAACACACCGCAATGGAGCATTCCCCACAGATTGAGGTTCTGCTAGGACCCGCATCTAAACCACAGTCCTGGAGGTGGGGTTAGTAGGAAAGCCAGTGACACACTTGTTTGGGAGTATTATTTTCCACAATCACCTGTCTTAAGCCAGAAGAGAGATGAAAACAGAGGAAATGTGCTTTCTGAGAGACCTCTCACTCAAAGAGCACCCAGCTCTTTCACATCTGTAAGCTACCTTTGCATTACAAGATATTGTTTCCAATGCAGAATCTAAAACATCCTAACTTCCAAAGTGGCAGCAAGGAAATGCAAACAATTTGCTTGCTTATTGCTGTACATTCATTTTTTAATGTGTCCAGTTTAGGATGAAGCCTGTAGCTCCCTTGGTTGATCTTCCTAGAAGTTATAAAGAGAGCAAATAGACAGACAGATGTCTTTTTTTCTTTTCTTTTTTTTTTTAAGTTGGGCAGGGAGGGTTTGGAAAGTCCCAAGGCATAGCACTAGCATCTGGCAGGGGGGCTTCCGGAATGGTTCCCAGCAAGCCAGCAAGCATGGCGGGGGAGCGGAGCAGGGGAGAACAAGGAAGCATCTACCACAAACCACTGCTGCAAAAAACAAATCACTTCTGAAACAGTGGCCAAAGAGCATGGATCCCAGGGCCAGCACTACGGCTGATGGCCTGGGAAAGCAGTAGAGGATGACCCATGTGTTTGGACCCCTGCACCCATGTGGGAGACCCAGACAAAGCTCCTGGCTTCATGAAGCCCAGCTCAGCATTGTGCTTTGAAGTAAGGAATAGAAGATCTCTCTCTCTCTCTCTTTCTCTTTCTCTCTCACTCTGACACTGACTCTGACTTTTAAATAAATAAATCAGTTTAATAAAAGAGCTTGAGTTTACTCAAAAGGCAGAGCTCTTAGGACCTGGTCTCAAAGCCCCCTGTTAATGCTATTATGATGGCAATTACATTCAACACGGGTTTTGTACAGGTTACAGGAGCAGGTTAGGCCTTGAGGGTGCCATTGATGTCCTGTGGGGCCATCCTGTGTGGAACTGAGGGGTTCCATGTTCTGCAGTGGAGTGCTGAGCTGCCACACTGGGCTGTGCTCTCCATCTGTCACAGAGGAGTAAAAATAGCCAAAAACTTGAGTGTCCTCCTCCAACCCTGCTTTTATGCATATTGAGAGAGATCTTCCATCTGCATTTTTATGTTCCCAAACATCCACAACAGCCACTTCTGGGCCAGGCCAAAGCTAGGAACTTGGAACTTAATCCAGGTTTCCCACATGGGTGGCAGTGACCCAACTGAGTCTCCCAGAGTGTCCAGTAATAGAAAGCAAGATGAGAAGTGGAGCCAAGATGAACCCAGCAACTCTGAAACCAGATGCGAGGGTTCCAAGCAGCAACTCAACCACAGCACTACCTGCTCATCCCCCTGAGCTGACCTTAGTTAAATGATTCCTTAGTCTATCCACCCACCCTGGCTTTGAAGTTTAGTGTATCTGTAATCGAACTGCAACTGAATCAAATTCAGAGTTTTCTTCAGGACAAAGGTGCAGCACAAATGGGCCTAAGACAACCTTAAGTGAATGGCAGGCATTCCCAGCCTTAGCTGAATCTGGAATGGGCCCTGCTATTCTCCTCCACTGCCCTGCCCGTACATACGCTTTTCTTTAGCATAAGCCTGGATGGAACGTGGCTCGCCCACTTTGTCTTGCAACACAGGGTACACAGAGATGTTATAGCATGAGAAAGGTTTTAATTTATCTGAAAAAAAAAGAAAGAAAAAATAGAATAAATGCACAGCACAGTAAAATGAATGCTGGATTCCATTATGACATGATGTGCAAGGATGGTTCTCTTTCCCTACTCTTGCCTCCTCTGGGAGACAAGGTTAGGCCAGATGGTTGCTCTGTGTGTGTGTGTGTGTGTGTGTGTGTGTGTGTGTGTGTGTGTGTGTGTGTGTGTAAAGCAAGATTTATTTAAGAAAATGACAAAGAGGTCTCCTGTTGTAGTGACAGGAGAGGCCCCCAAGAGGGGGAAAAACTGAGAAAATGGTGCAAGTGTTGTTTTTTTATGCACCATCTCATCTTAATCTGAGGTTTTCTAGTGAATTCTTAGAACCAAATCCTGTACTACTTTAGCAAAATTACAGTGTCATCCAGGAAGAGAGAAGTAGGTTCTGTTCACCACATCAGCAGCTAGGAGTTCTGGTCAAACATTTAAAAGCTGATGATCATGACAACCAAACCCAGTGCAGAGGGCACCTGCAGATCCCATGCTGGATACCTTGCTGGATTGTCCAATTCTTGGCTCCTGTCACAGATCCCCAGGAAAAGTCAGAGCGTTCTGAGTCCAAATCTGGGACCCACTCAACCATCCACATGTCCACCTTTTGGGCACAGCTCTGCCACTCCACCACCAGCTGGTCCTGAGCCAGCCTGGCCTGCATGTCCTCAATGCACTGAAATGCTGAAAGGAGAGAAAGGACTGGATCAGTGACCACCCAACACTCCCCCAGGCATCAAGCATGCTGGCATCTGTTCATTGCCCGAGCTACAAAACAGTCCAAGTCCAAGAATTCCACTGCAGCCTCCTCTGATGCGGGCAGTTTTCACTCCTCTACTGTAAATCCCTTTTATTTATTTATTTATTTATTTATTTATTTATTTATTTATTTATTTATTTATATTGGAAAGGCGGATATACAGAGAGGAGAGACAGAGAGGAAGATCTTCCATCCGATGATTCACTCCCCAAGTGAACACAACGGCCGATGCTATGCCGATCCGAAGCCAGGAGCCTCTTCTGGGTCTCCCACGTGGGCGCAGGGTCCCAAAGCTTGGGCTGTCCTCGACTGCTTTCCCGGGCCACAGGCAGGGAGCTGGAAGGGAAGCGGGGCTGCCAGGATAGAACCAGCACCCATATAGGATCCTGGGCGTGCAAGGCGAGGACCTTAACCACTGTGCCACCGCGCCGGGCCCATGTAAATCTCTTTTCTATACCCAATGCTTTGATAGCTTCTGTGGCTTTGCCTCATCCCCAAATTGACCTTTTCCAGCAAAGTGGCTCATTAAAGTGTTGCTGATTAAAAGAACTCAGCTGCCTCAGGTGACTCTGCAGGGCCAAAGGAAAACAAACCTCAGAAAAAGAATCTCCAAAGGTACAAGTTCAGGTACCAACAATAGTGTGGCTGGGAAGCTAGGAGATGGTGACCTTAACACACCAAGGAGATGACTTCGCACTTCAACCTCCCCGCTGGCCCTACACACTAGATACGGACTCATCTGCTCCAGGCAGCAAGAATTGTGCATGTATCAGAAAAGCAAAGTACCTAGGTATGGATCAACTCATGAAATGGCAGGAGTCAATGCAGGACCAGCAAGAAACTTATCTCTGACAATAGGTTACAAAGATTCTTCTACTAGAAGAGTTAGGCACATGGATTCCAATCCAAAAACTATGATTTCATGGGAGAGATCTTACACACAGAAATGGCAGACTTATTGGGGGCCTATCAGAAAGCAGAGATGGGGTGAGAAGGGGGTCTCAGAAACAACAGGGTGTGGCTCTCCCTCTCTCTCTATTCCCCACTACAGACTTCAAGAGTTCACATGTGTGTATGACATGAACACCGAAGACAGCCCTGGATCAGGGCAGAAGAGCAGACAATGTCCCCACAACAAGAAAAATTCCCAAAGCCTCGGGAAGCTATGCAATTCAGCTAATGCAGGACACTGCATTCTGCTATATCTGGCAACAGGTGCCACCAAGGCTGAGTGTACATGGAGGAGTCTCATTCTTGGGAGCCACAGTGCAGGGAACCTTCTCCCCTAGGTAGTCCCAGAAATAACCCAAGGAAGCTGCCAACCTGAAAAGGTAGCTCTGAGAAAGGGCAAAGCGAGGCCAGCAGGAAATGTGGAACTGGAGTGGGGCCTGCTGAATCTCCTGGGCTTCTGCATCTGTCTCCCCATTCCTCCTCACTCAAGGCCTCACTTCACTCCCCAGCCAGAAACTCGTGTCCACATGCAGATGGCAAGTCATTGCTAACCCAGACATTGGTACCTCGCACAGTCCTCTCCAACTGCCTCTTACTGCTGCTGAGCTGGGATGTAATTCACTCCAGAATTCCCCAGCAGGAACTGGTGGGAACCACCACCTCTTTATGTCAGACTAGCCTGTCTGGGGTTGAACTGTGCCATTCCTGTCCCAACCCACCTGCCCTGGCAAAGACCTTCTCAGAACCATAGAATGCAACCTTATTTGGAAGCAGGTGTACTTAGCTAAAACAATGGGCCCTCAATCCGACATGAGTGGCATGTCCTTGTAAGCTGAATGTCAATTGGACACAGAAACAAACACGTGGGGGATTGTCTGTAAGAAGATCAAGATGAAAGTTGGAATTATTAGAGCTGTCATAGGTCTAAGAATATTTGGGCCACTGGAAGCTCAAACAATTAGGCAAGGGACCTGCCCTGGAGACTGTGAAGGAAGAAGACTAAGCCAATACCTTGGTCTTACACCTCCATCCTCCATAACCATACCACTTGTTCCCAGACACTCAGCCCATGGTCCTGACATCTTCCCCTCACCTGGCCTGTCCCTATCCCCAATTCATTTTCTGGTCTCCCTGAAAGCATGATCGTAACTAATGAGTTATTCACAAATTTTGGCCTGAAAAGAAGTAAATGTTAGATCCTAATTCCACAGTATTCTCACCAAGCCTGGAGCTCAGAGGAGGAGGAGAAAAAGGAGCTCGGTCTGAACACCAAGAATAGGAGACCTCAAGCAACAAAGTCAAATTTGCCTAAAGCCATCAGTCAACTTCTAAAGGGGGAAAAGACCTGGCAAAGTTCCAGCACACCACAAGAGAAGCTTCAAAATCAGCATGCTGTGAAATCATACTTATCACTTCTGATACAGCACATTCTCAGCTATGATGGGAAACCTAGGGAAGGAACGGGAGCATTGACCATGAACAGCACGAATTTCTGGGAAGTCACATGAGGACAGTCACTTAGGGTCTATCAGATAAGGCTCTCAAGGGCTGGGGGTGCTTCCCTGTGGTCATCTGTCCTAGGTTCACCCTGAACTTCACCCTGACTTGATCCCAGCTCACTCTGAGGTCCTGTCTCGGCACGTGCACGCCTGTGCTTTCCCACGCCCAGGCGCAGCTGGCTGCCAGCTGAGGATTCACAGAACACAGATGTTCAGGCATCCCCAAGGCTTGTCTGGGCCAATCCTGCAGTCTGAAGATTAAAAACACACAGGCCTCCTGGAGGTAAATGACCCCGGCTCAGCGTCACACAGTGTCTGTGGCCAGAATTCTGACTGACTTTAGTAAAGGCCAACTCCAAGATTCTGGATAAAGTTTATCACACCAGTTTGGCATGGTGGAATCCCTAGAAAAATTTAAGTTTTCCTGAACTCATCATCTATAACATGGATCGAATCATATTGATTATGAGTCATGTCAAGATAAGCTGTCATCTGAGTACAATGTTGAATACCTATCAGTAGACAGTATAATATATTTATTTATACTTAATGCCATACATTAGTACTTAATATACTTAGACTATTACCATTATAACTATTCTCCAGTGGCTTCTACATTATTAAACACAATTCTATAGAACACCACTCTCTTATTTGAGGGTATTTAAAAAACACAGTAAGATAGAAGTAAAAGGCAAGGTCTACCATGCTGGGCTGGGTGTTGGGGCACAACAGTAGAAGTTGCCACTTAGGATGCTTGATTCCCACAGGGGAATCCTGGGCTCGAGTCACGCCTCTGCTTCCAATCCAGCTCCCTACTAAGGTATACCCTGGAGGTATTGAATGATGGCTCAAGAGACATGGATCACTACCCCGCCCCCGGAAGACCCTCACAGGGTTCCCGGCTCCTAGCTTCGACCTCAGCCCAGCCCTGGTTGTTGTATGTAGATGGAGAGTGAACCAGTGGATGAAAGTTATGACTTTCCCTATCCCTTGGAAGTAAATAAGATGTGTGTTTTTAGAAGATTTATTTGAAAAGTAGAGCATCAAAGAAAGATGGAAAGAGAGAGAGAGAGAGGTATCTTTATCCACTGGTTCCTTCTCCAAATAGTTGTAAGAGTCAGGGCACCCAGGTCTCCTACATAGGGCTCAGGCATCTGAACCATCATCTGTTGCCCTCCCAGGTGTACTAACAGGAAGCCAGATCTTAAGTGGCAGAGACAGGATTTGAACTGGTGCTCCAATATGGGATGTCAGATCGTAAGTGGCAGCTTAATGTACTGTGTCACAATGCCAACCCCAACAATGTGCTTTTGAAATCCACTCACATGGGGGGATTCTTAGAAATGTACATGATGAAAAATTATGCCTGGATTTCAAAATTTTTGAAGTCAAATAAATTCATCTTGTAATTTCCTTTTTCCCTCAAACTTTCTCAAGTCACATCATGTCACGGATGATGACAGTGACACTTGACACAAAGCTGGGGAAGGCAGGGGAACAGGTAAGTTCTAGTTCAAGTGCATTCTGCAGCAGCTTTAAGGCTGATTATCTATGTCTCATAGACATGCAATCAATCAGAATTTCTAATAAGAATGACAGAATCTCATTTAACTCTCAGACAGTTCTGCAAGGTGGTGTTATTACATACTTGTCCTATTTCCAAGAAGCTAGGGTTTAGAGATCAGACCATTTGCCCAAGGTTAATGTATCTTGTGAAAGAGCAGATTTGAACCCAAAACTGTTGGGCTCCCAAGTCCACAGTTTTATCTCCAGTTCTGAGAGCCTCCCATATTGAGGCCATAGTAGAAAGCTGAGGTTGACATTCAGCTCACCTCCATCCCCCTCAAAATGACATGTGTCCATCAGGGGCCAGGAGCCAGGAGCTAGGAACCAAGTGGAATATGATCCAACACTAAGATGGCTTCAGGTGCAGCTCAGAAAACAAAATAGGAATGCCTGAGAGCTCTAAAATGAGGCAAGAGGGTAAGTTTTCAGGCATAGAGAAGGCAGGGGGCACGGGCAGAGAATCACATAACAGCATGAATGAGCGTGGTCCAAGCAGAGAGCAGTGAGATGGAGAGAACATTCCCCCACTGCAGTGTTTCTGACAGTCACTAAGCACCTGTTCTTCGCCAGCTGCCCTACACCGCTGCAGCTGTTGGAAAATGGATTGTAAGAGAAGAAGAGGAGCATTTGGCCTAAGACACCCCTAATCCATGTCAGAGTATTTCGATCCAAGACCCAGCCTTGACTCCTGACTCCAGCTTACTGGAGTCCTTGGGGGTAGCAGTGATTGGTCCCAGCCAACCACATGGGAAACCTGGATTGTGTTCCTGAATCCTGGCATTGGCCTGGCCTTGTCCAATGACAGAAGAACCCTCCCCTCCCTCTCCCTTCTCCTCTCCTCTCCTCTCCTCTCTCTCTAAACCTCCCTAAACCTCCCCTCTCTCCTCTCCTCTCTTCTCCTCTCCTCTCTAAGCCTCCCCTCTCTCCTCTCCGCTCCTCTCTTCTCTTCTCCTCTCTAAGCCTCCCCTCTCTCCTCTCCTCCCTTCCCCTTCTCTCCCTTCTCCCCTCCCCTTCCCTCTTCTCTCCTCTCCCTTCCCTCCTATTGTCCCCTGTCATCTCCTCCTTCCCCTCCTTTTCTTCTCTTCTGACTTCTCTCTTCTCTCTCCTTCCTCCCCCACCTCTTAAAATTTTAAAAAGAAAACAAAAAATCCCTACTCTCAGGGAACATGCTTCCTGTTGAGAAAGAAAAAGCTTACAAAAATGAGAAGATGTATGAAGTAAAGGTTAGTACTAAGTAAGAGAAAAAAAATAAAGAACATTTACCATATTTCCTTGAATAACAAAGAAGATATTTTATTCTAAATCATGATATAAAGAATTTGCTCTGAAGTGATAAAACGTTTAAACCTACTTAATCAGAAGGGCAATGAACAATTTATTGACATATAGAATAGAATTTCCCCTAACTTAGTCACATGGAAGGGAAAAAAGAAGAAAATAAGAGAGAACAGAGTCAGGGTTCAAGACTCAGTCAACACCCCTTGTGGGGTGAAGAGTTCCAAAGCAGCTTCAGTGTGAGAACCACTCTGACAAATGCGGCAACTTTATAGGGCCCAACTCCATTCACATGCACTGAGACCAGAATAAACACTGCACATAGAACCTCTAAGCCTACAACTCCAGATTCTATGACTTATGAAGTTTCTGACTTTGTCAACAGGCTCATTAATTACCAACAGATTTTTATCTCCATTCAGTATTCATCCCAAAAGTCCTCATTCCATTTTCTCATTTTGATTCAGAGAAATAGGTACCCTGAAGGGGATAACAACTACTTCCTGGCCAACTGAATGGGCCCAGGCACCTGAGAAAGTTGGTGTTCTACTTACGCTTTTCATGAATAGCTGGGATCCTCAGCTTGGCCTCTGGGGAATGTCCAAAAGAATTATAAGCAATAACAGCCACCTGATACGTCTCACATCCCAGGTGCAGTGTGACCTGCTGAGCTGTAGTGTTCTCTGTCTCTGTAAGGTTTGGATTGTTTTCTGAAAAGTACTGTATTTCATAGAAAAGTGTCTTCTCCAGAACTGGGGCTCCTCTTGCTTTCTGAAACCAAAGGGAATAAAATTTATTGCCAACAAAAAAGAAGATATATGCTGATACAGTGTGAACTGGTGAAGATGGAGGGTGGGGCTAATGTTAACTGTTAGATGCTAAACTACAAACTAGCCTCTGTCTTCTAGGACAAATACACCATGCCATTCTAGCAACCCTCCAATTGCCACCCGATGAATTTGCTCAACGATTCATCGCTTTTCAACTCTTAGCAATGTCTTATTCCATAAGACTAAACTAGGTGAATGTCTAAATCAGTGTAAGCAAGCTACCCCACTTCCTTCTGACTGTATATTTCACTTTATCCCACATGCATAACAGGCTAAAAGCTGGAAAGTCAAACCTCCTCCCTTTTTAAGTGTATCCCAAGTCTGGCTGTCCCTGGGTTATCTCTGGCCTTGGAAGTCTCCAAAGATTGGACAACACTCACACCTGGGTCTTTCATCTCCATGCCAGTTCTCACACCACCCTAAGAAGGCATCCAGCTTCTTTGGACTGAGCACCGCAGCCAGGTTTCATGGCTAAGAGGACTAAACCCTTCAGAGCTGCTCTACCTAAGGGTTTCAAGTCAAATTATGATATTCAGAGTTGAATTCTATCCCACTAATCTAATGGCTTGCCTAAGGAGCAACATACTGAGCAGTTCCCAGAAATTAAAGGCGTTTCCTGTCATCTATTTTCTGTTAACACATGGAACAGAATGACTAAACATAAGGTCAGAAGGGGCTCTAGGAGTTACTTACCCCTTTATGCCAACTCTGACATAACAGATAAACTATCCTCCTTGATAATGGGGATCTCTCTTAACATGACTCATTCTCTCTCTATTATATTTTCAATTAACTTATGTTATGAAATAGTTCTACTGGCTCCAGTGTTCCCCTCCACTTTTCCCTTATATTGTTACAATAGTAAAGTCCTTCAGAAATAGTAGTAAGTCCATCATTCTGCTATTTAAGTGTATTCTGACATTGCAAGTATGGACAATGGCAGCTTCACTAACATAGAATTCATATTGCACAATATTTTAGACTCTGCAATTCAGTGGTTTTAGTATATTCAAAGTTGTGCAATGAACACAGCTAATTTAAGAGAAAATTAGTACTTTTTTAAGATTTATTTTTTATTTGAAGGGCAGATTTTACAAAGAGAGAAGGAGAGACACAGAGATACATCTTTTATCTTTTGATTCATTTCCCAAATGGCTGCAATGGCCAGAGCTGAGCTGATCTGAAGCCAGGAGCTTCTTCTGGGTCTCCCACATCAGGGAAGCATCCCAAGGACTTGAGCCATGCTCTGTTGATCTCCAAAGCCATAAGCAGGGAGCTGGATCAGAAGAATTCAGAAGAATCCAGGACATAAACTGGCACCCATGGGATACCAGTGCCACAGAGGTTTAGCCTACTACAGTATAATGTCTGCCCCAGTACCTTTATTAAGTAACTTAAAATTCTTAGAAAACTTTCCTCTTGAGGCCAAAGGAAAACCAGTGCCCAGGAAAAGAGGAGAAAACATTGAAGTCCACCTTGCCTATTTCATATGATCCTTAGCTGCGACTCTGCAGCTAAGACCATGCGTGCTAAAGTCATTTTTGCTTTCATCTCCTCTGTGCATCTGTCTCCACCCTTGATAAATGAGAAGGAAAGCATTGCATCTTGGATTGATCTGCAAAGGTTTCCAGACTCCACTGGTTGTATTTCTTCACACCACAGTCTCCACAACTTGAGGGTGTCCTCCAGCTGTGGGGACTGTGAAGGCAGACAGGCAAGGGGGAAAGGATGCTCCAACTCTGAATCATGGGGTTTCATGCCATGTGGAAAAGCAGGGCAATTTCTCCATTAAACTTGTCTGTGAATTCTGGAAATTTTCTGTGAATTCTGGTGACACATTAAGGAATTTGGCATCTCATTTTTCTCTCCCCTTTTTTCTCTCTCCCAATCTCCCCATTGTTTCTCTCCCACCTCCTAGGGTTTTTTTCCCCCTTTATCTGCCTTTTTTTTTTTTATCCCTGTTCATTCCCTGTTCCCACTCCAGTTTTTTGTTCTTTCCTGTTATTTCTTCACTTTTGTTTTCCATCTCCTCTTTTCTACATTATGCAACTGCCTTTCCCAGACCCTCATCCTAAAAAAAGGCCATTTGACCCCTCTTTTGTCTGCACGGCATTATCCCTGCACTCAAAGGCAAATACGTGAAATATATGTAGGCAATGACCCAAGGCAACAGCACACCAGCGCCAGCTGTCCTGATCAATGCTTCCCCCAAGTGGTGGAGGTGGCACTGTGGAGAGTCTCATCACCTTGTAGCGATGTCAGCCATACATGGGCTCAGCTGGAAGGACTTAGTGCCTTCTGAACCTTCAGTTCATACCTGCCCCAAATGTCAAAGTTTCAGGTCAAAGAGGAGGGAGAAGGGAAGGAATAAAAATGTCATGTGCAATCAACAAAATGATCTGTGCATGTTCCTGAGCTGGTCAAGCACTTAAAGATTTGGGACATTACAAAGCCTCTAGGGAAGGACATTTGGGAGGACAAATTTTCAATAATCACAGCATTTTGGAAAAGCAAGAGACCAAAAGTTTTTAATCAGGAAAATTAAAAAAAAAATCCAGATGACGTCACCTTCCAGAGCAGCTGCACTGTCCTCTCTCCATCCACCTCAGGCGCTCCCAGGACTCGCCACAGTTCCAGGCCATAGGGAGCTGAAAGGGACAAGAGGGAGACGCTCGACTCAGAGCATGGGAAGCTGTGACATGAAATAGTGGAGCTGGCAGGGATTCAGTTGAGGAGCTTGAGATGGAAACACTATCAAGCAGGCAGACCCCAGATGTTATCACAGGGGAAGGCAGGCAGAGGTTCAACAAAAGAGGAACAAGAGGTGATGATGGAAACAGAGGTTGGAGTGATGAGCTTTGTAAGCAGAGGGGCAGGACAACTGTAGACGCTGACAAAGGAAAGGAGGCATGCTCTGCCTGCAGAATCTTCAGAAGGAAACAGCCCTGTCAGCACAGCCTGGTAAGACCCGACTCTGGACTTCTGCTCTCTGAACTCTGACAAATCTGTGTTGTTTAAGGCATGAGATGTGTGGCGAGTAGTTGAGGCAGCCATCAGCAACCAATATGTTAAAAACATTTGCTGATCATCTTGTGTTAACTGGAACTGGGCAATATTCCTGTGAACAGTGTCATGTGCTGAGGAATCCTGAGACATTTAATGATATCTCCAAAGCTCCACTGCCTCATCTTGCAAGTTGGCATATCTCTGCATGCTCTTCAGGCTTATAAGAGGATAGATGCTGATAACAGTAGGATGCATATTTTAAAAAAAAAAGTAGGAGCTGGCACAGTGGTATAATAGGCTAAGCCTCTGTCTGTGGTACCAGCATCCCAGATGAACACCAGTTATTGCCCTGGCTGCTCCACTTATGATGCAGCTCCCTATTAATGAACCTGGAATGGCAGCAGAGGATAGTCCAAATCCATGGAACCCAGCATCCACATAGAAGATCCAGCAGAGGCTCCTGGCGTCAGATCAGCTCAGCTCTGATTGTTCCAGCCAATTGGGGAGTGAACCAGCAGATGGAAGATCTCTCTGTCTCTTCTTCTCTCTGTAAAACTCTGCCTTTCAAATAAGTATAAAATAAACATTTTTTATAAAGAGGGAAGAAAAGTAAGTCTGGAACTTAGTGAATGTTCACTGTAGGCTAAATATCTCATTTTATTTTCATCTTTGAAATACTACTAAAACAGACTCTATCAGATAAGTGTTATAAATTATATTCTAATACAGAAAAGGGGAATAAAATGTGAGGAAACTTCAGCTTAAGAGATCACCTGTCTTGCTCAAAGTCACACCTGAGCCAGGCTGGGACGGAAGACAGGCATACAGACCTTAAACACTGCTCTTAACCACCATGCCTGACATATGGTAAGTGTTCAGTCCACGTGGGGTACCAGTTTCTTTCCTTCATTGTCAAAGATGTGACTTTTTTTAAGAGACAGAGAAAGAGGAAGAAAGAGTGGCTAAAGCTGAAAGGAAAAAACAGAAAAATTAGTCTCAGGGTCCTATGGGAGCCTCCCAAGATCTGCATCAGCACCGAGCTGGAGCCAGAAGTTGAATCCAGGTATTCTGAAGGGGGGCATCCTAACCAGTGTCTTAGGCCAAACACCCAACCTACACGACCATTCTATTTCATTAGCTGTACTTTTATCGTTTTAGGCCTAGTTCCAAGGTCTATGACAGTCTATATCTTTTAAAAAAATATTTATTTTTATTTTTATTGGAAAGTTAGATTTATAGAAAGAAAACGAGTCAGAGAAAGATCTTCCTTCTGCTGGTTCACTCCCCAAGTGGCCACAACAGCTGGAGCTGAGCCAATCTATAGCCAGGAGCCAGGAGCTTCTTCTGAGTCTCCCTTGCGGGTACAGGGTCCCAAGACTCTGAGCCATCCTCGACTGCTTTCCCAGGTGACAAGCAGGGAGCTGGATGGGAAGTGGAGCATCTGGGACACAAACCAGTGCCCATATGGGATCCCAGCACATGCAAGATGAGGACCTCGGACACTAGGCTACCATGCTGGGCCCGATAGTCTATATCTTTACATTGTCACCGGATACCTTCAAAGGCTGTGACATGACACCACATGCAGAACAAGAACCTTGTAACACAAAGCTCTAAGGCAGCCAGCACCATCAGAGGCACATGGCTCACTCTGGGGCTCAGGCCAGCATCTATGGATAGGGAATGGGCAGGCTCCACAGGTCTGGGGGATCCCAGAAGCCTATGATACCAAGCCCAGCACTTGACAAAAGACACCAGGCCGAGGCTGAGGACTCCATTCACCAGAGTAGGCCAAAAGGGAATTATGAACTCAGCTTACCTTCTTCCTCAGTCATTCCCATTTTTTCTTGGCTAAAGTCACTCCATAACTTGGACCCAATGACCTGACATTGCAGCTTTACAATGTACTCCATAGAAGACTGCAGGTTTGTGAGGTTGTAGGCATTGCCATTGCTAGGGAAATTGATTGTGGTCTACAAGACAAGAGATAGCTGAGGTGAAATGGAGACAGCATCTGGTAGTCTTCTATTTTTTCCTTTCCTTTTCTTAATTCTCTCTTGCCATCTTATTTTGGGTATATTTTTCTTTTGTTTCTATTTGAAAGGCAGAGAGAGAGAGAGAGAGAAGCTGACAGAGATATTCCATCTGCTGGTATGCTCTCCAAATGCCAGCAGGAGCCAGAGTTGGGCCACGCTAAAGCTGAGAGCCCAGAAATCCATCTGAATCACCCACAGGGATGGCAGGAATCCAGGTACTTGTGCCATTACCTGCTGCCTTCCTGCACTAACAGGAAGCTGAAAATCAAAGCAAAGCTGCAGCAGGGACTCCACTCCGGCTCTCTAAGATATGAGCATCTCAAGCAACAACTTGAGGGCCAAACACCTGCCCACTCACTGTTTCATAACTAGTAAATCAATATCTTGAATTTTAAATTATGTTATTTTTGCAAGAAAGCTGCCACACTACCTGGACACAATTTGTGCATAAGTGGGTGTGAGTCATCTCATTATTCAGCATCTCTCCTCCATTTCCCATCTTCAAGCTTGTGCAGCAGGAGACAGCTTTGGGGGCTAGTGGATTAGGTCAAAAGCAGCACCAGCATCCCACATCGATGCATCAGTCGGAGCACTGGATGTTCTACTCTGATCCAGCTCCCTGCTAATTTGGTTGGAAAGCCAATGAAAGATGGCCCAAGTACTTGTGCATTTGCCACCCATTATGGGAGACGAGGACAGAGTTCCTTGCACCTTGTTTTAGCCTGGTCCAGACCTGACTGTAAAGTCATTTGGGCAAAAGGAGGTCCACACTCTTTTTCCACCTTTCAAATGACTCTTTTTTTTTTTAAGTGCCTTCTATAATTTATAAGGGAGGGAAGGGGGCATGGAAGAAAAAACATAAGTTTTGAGAGCTTGAATGTACAAGTTCACCTTGATGTTCTCCTGGGAAATTAAAGGTATCTAAATCAATTCCCTTTTCTTAGTATTGGTTTCTCATTAATAAAATGAGTTTTTAAAATAAGTCTCTTCCATGGATCCTCTAATAATAATATTTTAACAGCACAACTTACCATAACTGTACTGTTGACAGCCCAGAACTGAAGTTTGTATGCAAAATCATATGGCATATATGTTTGTTTAGGTCTTTTCCATTTGACTTGAATCATTCGTTTGACTCCCGAAATTGGTTTCACATTTAAAATCTCAGGTGGTTCGGTTTTCACTGAGAATAAAAATCATACGGTTCTTATATTTTCCAACAAAAGATGAAAAGGTGTTAAAAGCAGCTACCCAGAATTGGAGAAAAGAAGGCTAGACAGGAAATGAGAATGCTGAACCTCTACCATTTGCTGGATGCAGCTGGAAGCAGAAGGCAGCACCAAAGACATGTCCCTTTGCCCTCCGCCCCGCAAGCACTGTCCAATAGAATGATGACGCACTCTGCAATTTCCCTGCACCTCAGCTTTGCATTGCCTGTGCCAGGCAGAAGGAAGGTAAAGAGACCACGGCACCAGAAACCACCTATTGCCTCATCTGCTCTCCCCTCCCAGGCCTCTCTGTCTGAGCCAAATGAAGAAATACTCAATACAGTCTCTGATTTACTTGGCACTCTGTAAACATTCTAGCCCCCAATCTCTCTCCTTTAAAATAGGTACTCTTCCGGTTATAGGAGTAGTATACGGTCATCTCATAAAAATATTAAACAACAGGAAAATACAAAGGAAAACTTAAAAATCATCCTTTACTCATCAACCAGAGATAAACTTCATTAATGCTTTGTATATTCCCTCCAGGTTATTTTCTATGTATACAGTTGTGTATATTTATATATATAAATATATATATATTTTATATATATATATAAATTCATTTGGTTGATTGTTCATTGGAAAGGGTGACAGGGAGAGAGAGAGAACTTTCCAATCTGCTGATTCACTCCCCACAATGGTTAAAATGGCCAGGGCAAGGTCAGGAAAAGCCAGGAGACAGAAGCTTGTATTAAGAAAAAAAAAAAAAAGGAGTTTCTAAAACTCAACAACAACAAAAAGTCAGTTAAAGTTGCGCAAAGGATTTCAATAAAAATTTCTCCAAACAAAATATACAAATGACCAATAAGCATATGATGGATCTCAACAGTTTAATCATTGGGTAAATGAAAATAAGAACCACAGCAAGAAGTTCAGATCTATTAAGATGGTCATAATAAAAAAGATGAATTATTGTTGGTGAGGACATGAAGAAATTATAACCTTTACAGCTTGCTGGTAGGAATGTTAAATGGTGCAGCTACTTTAATAAAGCTTAGGAGTTCAAAAAGTTAAACATAGTGTTACAATGTAATTCAACAATTTCAACAGATATCTAACAGAACTGCAATATACATCCATGCAAATATTTGCATACAGTTTTTAAAAGCAGCATTCATGACACTAATCAAGAGCACAAATGCCCATCAGATGATACATGGGCAAACAAATGTGGTATACCAATCCAGTGTGCCAAATTCAGCTACAGAAAGGAATGAAGTGCTAACTCATGGTACAACATGGGTGAACTTTGAAAACATTGTGCTCAGTGAAATAAGTAGGATACAAAAGATACAAAAAACCTGTATTATTATGTCTACATGAGACATTTCAAAAAGGGAAATCTGTATAGACAAAAAATAGATTAGTTATGGAGAAGGGCGGAAAAGAACTAGGGACTGGTTACCAGCAGGTATGGTCTGGGACTGTGAAAACGTTTGGAATTAGACAATGTTGATGTTCACACAATTTTGTGGAAAAGTGAGCTTTGTATATCCAGATTATAACTAACTAAAGCTAATATTTAAAAAATTACATGTTAGGGGGCCAGTGCTGTGGCCCAGCAAGCTAATCCTCCTCCTGCAATGCGGACATCCTATGAGAGTGCCAATTCTGGTTCTAGCTTCTCTTTCCATTCCTTTTCTCCATTCCTCTGTTTTCCTTCCTTCTTCCCTTTTCTTCCTTTCTTGTGAAGATGAATTTTCTGTACCTTCCAAACATGTACATATTACATTGTAGAGCTCTGAGTCTGCATTTGAAACCAAAGATTCTCTCTCTCTCTTTTCAGTATACATGGGAGTAAACCTTCAATAAAGACTAAAACACTCACCTATGTCATCTGTGCGCCACTTTGTCACATCAGATTGAGTTGTCCCTTCTGCATTTGTAGCTTCCACTTGAATGCTGAATGTATCCCCCGTCAACACTTTTAGAGAAGAGAATGAACACGAAGGTCCGTTTCCAGCAGCAGCAGAACCGTTGATTTCGCAGGTCTCCAGTTTCCGCTCAAGATTGCTTTGAAGGAGAAAGTGATTTAGTGTGAGTATAGCCAGTTGGAAGTACAGCCATGCTTCCTATGTTAGCAGGGTTTGTTGGCTTCACTCTGGATTTCTCTTACTAACTGTGTAGTTCAATATTTGATTCCTCTTTCCTCCAAATAGAAATAAAAATCATTTGTTTACTGTCTGCTTGAGCCACTATGGCCAGAGAAGTCTGCTGGGAACCCTGTAAGCCCTTAAAAGTGATATTGGCAATAGATTTCCTACTGGAAACAGAAGACAAAAAAAAAAAAAATTCCCTAAAAATCCAAGATTCTATCCTTGGCAATTTTTTCTTTAAAGAAGATAATATAATAAAGTAACAGCTAGTGAAAAAAAAAATAAATGTTGGGCCCTCTGTCTGCCGACACTGGCATCCCACATGGGCACTAGTTTGTATCTTGGCTGCTCCACTTCTCAATCTACTTCAATCCATTTCTCCCTACTTAGGGCCTAGAAATACAGCAGAGAATGGCCCAAAGTCTTGGGACCCTGCACCCACATGGGAGACATAGAAAAAGCTCTGGCCTCCTGGCTTCAGGTTGGCTTACCTTCAACTGTTGTGGCCATTTGGGGAGTAAATCAGTGGATGGAAGCGCTTTCGCTCGTTCTCTCTCTCTCTCTCTCTCTCTCTCTCTCTCTTTTTCTCCCTTCTTCCCTTCTTTCCTCCCTCCCTCCCTCTCTCTAAGTCTTTCTGGTAAAATAAATATTTTTTAAAATGAAAAATAAATTATGGTAGATATATATATATATACGATTTTAAAATGAAACATTTTAAGATATACATAATTTTTTTTTGGTTCCCATGCTCTATGGTTGGGGAAGGCAGTGGGAAGCCTACTGTTATGGTTTGGATGTGGTTGGTCTCCCAGAGGTTGAAGTAATGGAGGTTTGGCCCTCAGTGTGATGGCAGGGCCTTGACGAGGTGAAGTCTTAGTAGGGCATCCTTAGGAAACTGGGACTGTGCCACAGAAGGTAGTGTGGAACCACTGTCAGCCTTTAGCTCCCTGATTGGTGATAAAAATCTCCTAGTCTTAAATGTAGTTCCACCATGATACCACAATGTCTTCACCAGAGTCCACCCAATCTTGAACTTCCAACCATCAAACCAATGAGCTCCAGGAACTTGTTGGTCAAGTTAACCTGACTTTGGCATTTATAACAGTAATGAAAAACGCACTAATAAACCCATCATATACACAATGATCATTGTTACATATGTATAGATACTTGTATAACTATTTCTAGAGACATCTGGAAAGATCTTCACTAAAAGTTTAAAATAGTTACCTTTGTTGGTGGGCACTGGGGTGAGTTTATACTCTGTACTTTTCAGGTTGAATATTTTCAGGAAATTTATTAAAACAGATGAAAGAGACAGAATAATCTATTAAGCTGTAACTTAAGGAAAACAAATGAACATATTAATAGGAATGAGATGGGTAGGTAGAGCTATAGACCACAGGGCCCTGAGAATTAGGTAGGAGGTGGAGCAGGCTCAGAACATAAGAAAAGGCCCACTCTACAAGGTGGCAATGTTAGCTGAGGTAAAAGGGACTACAGGAAATCAGGGACACAGGAAACCACAGATCCTTGAAATTACAAAGAACTACAAGGATTTTCATTGGTTACTACACAGACAAAAAATGGCCTCTAGGTTAGTATTCTGTCGTGGTTACAAACAAGGGCTCTGAAAGAAAACCAGCTTCAAACCCTGGCTTTGCCCCTATTAACTCGTTGACTTAAGAAAGTTCTTTAATCTCTCTGTGATTTAGTGTTCTGATTTGTAAAATCAAGGAATAAATATATCTAGCACATAGATTGATCATGAAAATGAAATGAACTTTAAAAATGTTAGCTCTGTTACGTATTTTAAAAAACAGTTTAAAAAAATCAGGTTCTTAGATCCAACATGGCTGGACAGGGAAAAGACATGCACATTTTGGCCATAGAAATGGAATGGAAGAAAAGCATAGGAACTACTTTCCCAGGGCAAAGTTGGAGACAAATTTTCAGTAGGAATTCTACAGAAAAGAGAGGCCAGGGAACAGTGTGGACAGTTAGAAAAAAACAGCAGCAGCAAGCAGGGACAGCACTGGCAACTCCCACAGCTGGAGGAGATGCTATGTTTTTGGAGTGAGAGGGAACTATGTGGAAACTCAGGTCACTGTTGACATTGCCTGAGGGAGAATCTTACAGACTTCACTGACTTTGCTTTTGTTGTTGTTGTTGTTTAAAGTTTTATTTTTATTGGAAAGTCAGATATACAGAGAGGAGGAGAGACAGAGAGGAAGATCTTCCACTTGATGATTCACTCCCCAAGTGAGTGCAATGGCCGATGCTATGCCGAAGCCAGGATCCAGGAGCTTCTTCCAGGTCTCACACACGGGTGTAGAGTCCCAAGGCTTTGGACCATCCTCGACTGCTTTCCCAGGCCACAAGCGTGGAGCTGGACGGGAAGTGGAGCTACCAGGATTAGAACTGGCGCCCATATGGGATCACTGACTTTGAAACTGTCCTGCAGCACTAGCAGGGAACAGGGTGCCTACCTAAACCTGATGAAGAGGGGAGTACTCTGCTTTGCTGCCATCCCCTCACCAAAGGCACCTGTCAGCCGACAGGGCAGAAGCACCATCATAGTAAGGCAAGGGGAGGCTGCTGTGGCTTCAGCACATACACAATTAGGGTATTTTATGAGAGGGATGAATCTACTCACCGCTGACTGAGCATGGCCTTGAAAGGTTTGAGGGGGTCAGGATGCCCATTTTAGCCTCTGAGATGCTCCACTGTCCTCTCTGCACCACAGGCAACACAAAGTCACAAACCCTATCACCCAGACACAAACTGCCAAAGGAGAGCACCAACCAGCAGCTGCTGTGGGAATGCCCCGGCTTTCTCCATGGATGGAGCAGACTGGCAGTGCAAGCCCTGTGCGCTACAACCATGGGACTTCTGTAACTGCATGAGAGTGGGTTGCAGCTGTGTCACTGGGCAATCACAGTATCTAACTTCAGAGGTTCATAATCGCTTCAGCGCCCGGGGTGGGTCATTGCAGAGGGATCTACTGACACTGAAGACCACAAAGATCTTTCGTGTTGTTTCGTAAATCTGCATGGATGGGCATGTAGCCTCTAGGGGCTCAGCCAAAGTACGGACCACCTTAGCAGAAAGGACATGAGGCTGTGATCCTACCAGCTGACATGAGAAGAGATCTACCATGCCTGACTTGAGTGTTTCCCTGGAAGAACCGACAAAAGAACTCTACCCATTCAACACACACCTCTAGCTATCCATTGAAGGATCAGACACTTCACTAAGCCACAGAGGCATAGTTTAAATATAAAATCCATCACAGGGAGGGAAAAAAATGTTTCCCCAAATACTTAAAAATAAATGTGAAAATAAGAAACATGAACAAGGAAGACAATATGACTCCCAAAAGGAACATAACAGTTTAATATGAGAATGTGAAAATTAAGACATAAATGAAATGGTTGAAAAGTAATTTTCAAAAAGGATCAGTAAGATTACTCAAAAACATAGGAAGGCAAATACATACATTAAGAAAATCCACAAACAATGCAGGTAAAATTTTTTTGTCAAGAGATAGAGATACTGAAGTGAAATTAAATTGAAATATAAAGAAATCCATACATCAAAGGAAAAATACAGCAGGAAGCCTTAAAAACAGATGTTGTGAGGCAGAAGGAACAGATCCAAGCTAGAAGACACATTTTTGGAAATGGAAAAAAAAAGAGCTGGAAGAAAAAGAAACAAAATTTTTGGAAATGGAAGAAAAAGAAACAAAATTTTTGGAAATGGAAGAAAAAGAAACAGAAAATAGTATTTGAGATTTATGGGCTACAATCAAAAAATATAATATACATGTTTAGGTGTTCCTGAAGGTATCAGAAGAGAAAATGGGTGAGAAGATCTATTCAGTAAAATACTAGCAGAAAGTTTCCCTAATTTGGAAAAGATATGGACATCTAAGTGCAGGAGGCACACAGAACTCCTAACAGACGTGATCGGATCGTCTCCACAGCACGTCCTACTCAACCTTTGAAAGGGTAAACACATAGAAAAGATTCTAAAATGTACACAGGAGAAACCCCAGGTAAGCTTCAAAGACTCTCCAGTTAGACCGACAGCTGATTTTGCAGCAGAAATCCTACTGGCCAGGAGAGAATGGAGAGACACAGTCCAAATGCTAATAGAAAAATACCTCAATCCAGAATACTGTACCCTGCAAAGCTTCCATTTATAAATGAAGGTGGAATTTTAAAGACCTCTCAAAACAAAATTGAAAGAATGTTTTACCAGTCATCTAGCTTTACAATTGATACTTAAGGATGTGCTAATAGAAACAGAAATATAGTCATCACTATGAAAGAATGTGAAAGCAGAAAATTCTTGTGGAATTATAAAGGGTATCCAAAATAAAATACATGTGGTAAAATGGTAGGACCAAGTTGTTGCTTACCAATAATAACCTTGAATAAGAAGGGCTTAAATTTTCCCATTGAAAGATACAGATTGGGCCCAGCACCATAGCCTAGTGACTAAGTCCTTGCCTTGTATGCATCAGGATCCCATATGGGAACTGGCTCATATCCTGGCTACTCTACTGCTTGTAGCCTGGGAAAGCAGCAGAGAGTAGCCCAAATCTTTGAGATCATGCACCCATTTGGGAGACCCAGAAGAAGCTCCAGGCTCCTGCCTTCAGATCTGCTAAGCTCCAGCCGTTGCAGCCAGCAGACGGATGATCTTTCTGTCTCTCCTTCCTTCTGTAAGTCTGCCTTTTCCAATAGAAACAAATAAATGCTTAAAAAACAAAAAAGACACAAATTGGATGAATGAACAACACCTATCTATTTGCTGCCTATAAGAAGCCCATCTCACCAATAAAGAAATGCAGAGAGTGAAAATGAAAGGGTGGGAAAATAAATTTAATGCTAAGGAAAAGTAAAATTGAGCAGAAGTAGCTATCCTAATACCAGACACAACAGACCTTAACACAACACTTTTAACAGAGCAAAAAAGGGCATTATTGGACCGATTCAATTGAAGATGTGACTAGAGTAAATATATATGCCCCCAGTGACAGAGAGACTGACACTTTAAATCAACTGTTCGTGGCTTTAAAAGGAGGCAGAGACTCTAATACATTAATAATAAGCGGCCTCAACACTCCACTTTAATTGATGGAAAGATCAGCTAGAAAAAAAAAACCAATGAAGAAACAACAGAGTTAATCTACAGTACGAACCAAGTGGACCCTCACTGATATCTGTAGAACTTTTCATCCCACAGCTGCAGAATACACATGATTTTAATCAGTGTATGAAAATTCTTCTAGAACAGGTCATTTGGAAGGCCATAAAACAGGTCTCAACAAATTTAAAAAATGAAATCATGCTATGTCTCTTTTCTGATCATAATGGAATGAAGCTGAAAATTAACAACAAACTCCAGGAACTATTCAAATATATGCAGAATGAACACAACACTCCTGAAAGAACAGTGGGTCATAATAAAAAAAAAAAAGAGGTTCCTAGGCCATCAGTGTGGAATATTTTTGATATTTGTCCTATTTCTGCAGTTGAATGTTTACATTTGTTCATGCTGTTGCCTTCGAGCAAGACTGTTTTCTCATTTCCACGCCTCTAGCCCTCTGCTCAAAAACTACCACCTCCATAAAGCCATCTACAACTTCTTTTCTCCTCCAGGTCAAATATTGTTGCTGGGTTCCAGCGCGTTTCTGCTTAGACCATTGACCCACCACAGTGTGCTCTCAGAGCAGACTACATGGAAGCACTTGCACGTTGCCTGGAAGAGGCATTCTGGGTGACACACACACAAACATACTAGCTGTGTGGGAGCCTGGAGAGCACAGTAGGGTAGGACCATCAGGACACTTGAGTAGGAACACTCCATGTTTTCCCAGTTTATACGACCAGCTGAACCACAAGAGTCAGTATGTCCTTATGAAAGAGAAATCAGGAGTAAGTCTACCAAGGTTTTTACATTTGTATTCTACTGATCAGCACTGGAGCTAGAACCATCACATTGAAGAGATAAGTAATTCGCATCATGTATTACAGAGTCTTTTTCAGGACCAAGTCATATACAGAATGGTCACTAACTCCTGCCTTAAAATGGCTGACAGACTGGTCACTAGTGCTGCAAACAATCTTGTTTGCTTTTTCCTTTTCTTTCACAGTAAAGCAAAGAGGAATTACCTTACAGTATGACATCTTGTGGTTAAAAAATCAAGACTCTTTTTTTTGAAACAGAGAAGACAAAGATCATGGGACTCTGGAAAAGTCCCACCTTGCCATATTATTATCAATAAACTCCACTGTGCTCCCCCCAAAAATATTTTCTATCATAAAATATTTTATCAATTTTTTTAAAGTTACGCTTGAGGCAAAGAAGAAACTTTGGGTTCCCTGTCCTGGTGGAACACTTTGGGATCTGGGTCACACAGCAAATCCATGGCAAATCACCTTTTTGTTCTGAGTTCATGGCCCTGCTGACTATGTCTGGATCAACACTTTCTGGAAGGAAAATAGACAGAGGTGAACATAGGAAAGTTTTTTTTTTTCCCACTATGCTTGTAACCGGTCACTGCTCAGCCAATGAAACAGACACTGTGTGGCCGTATCTTTGATCCTCACCCATGAGCATGACTGTATGAGGTCACGATGCACCCTGTGGTCACCTAGAGGCTGCAATTGAAGACCTGTTTCACTTCAGGTAACCTGACTCCAGAATGAGACTGAAGGCTTTGCCTCCTCCCGCTGCGTCTCCCAATAACACACAGGCTCTCATACTTACTACATTCTCTTAACCGTATAACGGGTGTGCCTGATTTCCTTCTCCGGACTCCAAGTGCAAATTAAATTTTTCTCCAAGTAGTAGACACAAGAAATGTTCTCAGGCTTAGCTGGCAGAGCTAAACAAATAAACAAACAAAATCACACAATTTCACGTTAAACATTTAAATGAAAATAAACTCATCAAAAGCTCCATTTGTTGGTTAGTTTCTGGATATAATGCATCCCCCTAATTCATGAAGAATCCTAGTCTATTTCTTCAATCATTCCCTTTGAGGAGCTAGATTTCTACTTTTTACATTCTTACTCAAGGCAGCATATGAGCAGCAGAAACAATTAGAATACCAGGCAAATGTGTTAGCAAGATCCTAAGAAAATCATCAAATGATAGAATCACTCTAAACGATAATAAATGATACAAGCATAAGTTAAAAAGTACAAGATCTTGAACCATTTCACACTTCATTCAGCTTTATGTAAAAATCACTGATTTTCTCTTTCCAGATTGTTGGATAGAAAAAAAAAATCTAGGAAACAGTTTCAGCTGTATTTTTATATCTTAGAAATATATCTCCAGATAATTCCTCTTGTTGAAATTTAGAATTCCCTTCCATCATGAATGATGTGAACAAATTACAGTAAAACTCTTTACCTGTGACTTTGCTGCTATTTTAACATGTCCTTTAAACAGTTAATGCAGATACCTTGAAATATATAATTGTACTGACACTAGTTCTAAAGTAAGGTCATTATCAAACCTAACTATTGCTAGACTTAAATAATTATCACATCTTCTTATTGAATATATTACTAAGAACTTGATATTATAAATTCATTTCTTTCATATTTTGATAATTTCATTCCAAAATATTTTATTTTTTCATAGTATTTGCGTTTACAAAATTATTTCAGGAAATATTTCACAGGCTTTACCATGTGATCAAAGGTTCTCTATCTCTCTTTCTCTCTCTCACACACACACCCTTCCCCAGCTGTATGCAATGGCCTAGGTTGCACTGTACCTAGGCAAATGTTACATTGCTGGGGAAAACACAGGTAATAGCTGGCAGGCACCCTGGGCCTGGCTAATGCCAAATTTGTGTTGACTCTACCAGTGTGACAGCACAATTGCCTATTCTATTATCATTATTTTTTTAAAGATATGTGGGGGCAGACACTGGCACATGAGAAGACAGGGTCTGGGGACCAGCATGCAAGTGTGTAGGCCCTGGGTAGGCAGGCAGGGCCCCAGGCTGGCACAGAACACTGCCAGAGGACTGCGCTTGGGGATCTGGACATGAGAGGCTACGGATTGCTCGGGGAAGTGGGCCTGGAGATGGGAGGGAAGACTGCTGCAGGAAAACGTGACAGGTGAGGAGTGACTTCCACCAACAGGCTACAGCACTTGCAGGGAAATGAGGGGGCTGAGACGGGGTGATTTAAGGACAAAAACCAGAGGGCCTTCTGGGGATAAACCATCCACATGGGAGACCTGAGCTGAGATTGTTGGTATCAACCCCTGCCTGGTGCACACAAAAGCCATGGCTTGGGGGCCTGCCTTGGCAGGGCCCAATCACAGTACTTGCCAGTGAGTATCAGGACAGGGTGTGGGTCATGTTAGGCTAAGCTATAACACTAACCAGCTTATGAGAGAACTGGGACTGGGAATAAATTCTGTGGGGGATTGTGGGCTTACCCCTGTGGGACTGTCATAACAGCTGGCTTATTCAAGGGCTGGGGGAGCTGACAGGCTGAGCTAAGCATGACCATGGAACTCACCGACACTTATGTTACTAGGGCTGGGAACATGCCAGGTTGGTCCTGGTTACAGCACCCCCAAGTGCAACCAAGACCGGAATGTGGGACAGGCCAGGCCACAATAACCACTAGCATACACAAAGGCCAGTACTGGGGGTGGGGGTGAAGGTAGACTGTTCCAGGTAAGAGTCTAACACCTGCTGGCATGCATGAAATTTGATCTTGGAGTGGACCTGGTGGGGAAATATGAAGAACGCCCCTATCGGGCCAAGGCTCCTAATGATGAGCATGTGCACCAGGACTAGATGTTGGTCAGGCTATGTAGAGATGTTTCATTTGTCAGCAGATGTGTGGGCTACCTCTCGTGGGTGGATTTGGCAGGACCAAACCAAACCATAACACACTGGCATGTGAGGGAGCCAGCATGGGGTGCAGGCCATGCTGGGCTAGGTTAGGCTATCATCCATACTGTTTTGCGTGAAAGCCAAGGATGGGGAAAGGCTGGGCAGCACTGGGCTGCAACATCTGATGGCAAAGGCCAAACTGGGTGATGGGTTATGTCTGGCTGGATAGCAGCAACTACTGGCCTGTGCAAAATCTGTGGTAGGGGAGCTATGGGGATGTCCTTGCTGGGCTACAGTTTCCACTGGTGAGCATGAGAACCAGAACTGGGCTAGACATGGCTGCAGTATCCCTTGGCTTGGGTGTAAACTGTGTCTGGGGTATGCCAGACTGGGCTAGGCTCCAGCACCTGCTGGTGCTTACAAGAGCCAGAGTGAGTATAGAATGGGCTGTGACATGTCTCAGGGGTGGGGAGTGGCTGGGTTATAGCACCCAACAGTTAGAGTCAAAAAGAGTGTGGACCTATAGGGCAAGGTTGCTGTACCTGACAGGACAGGAGGTGGGCCAAGAAGCCACCAATGTGCATGAGATCTGCTACTAGGAAGTGACCTGATAGGGGAGCTTGAGGAACTCCTCTGTCAGGACACAATCCCTGTGAGCACAAGAATCAAAGCCAGCAAGAGACCAAAGCCAGGTTATAGTACCTGCTGGCATACGTGTGAATCAAGTCTGGGAGCGGGCCAAGCTGGGCCAATTCATAAACCCACTTTCAAATGTGAGAACCAGCACAGGGTGCAAGATAGGCCTGGTTGTGCCACAACACCAGACACTTCACGTTGGGGTTGGGACTGGGGGCTGGCTTGGCTGGCCAAGGCTGTAGCACCGATCAGCATGAGCTGGAAGTGGGAGCAGGATGGGCCAAGCCAGGCTGTAGCACTCACTGTTGAGTGTTGAGGTGAGGTGAGCCATGCCAGTCTGGGTTGCAGCTCACAGTTCCCACTGGCACACATAAGACCCTGGTATAGGGCCGGCACCATAGCCTAGTGGCTGAAGTCCTTGCCTTGTATGTGCCAGGATCCTGTATGGGCACTGGTTCATGTCCCACTGGCCCCATTTCCCATCTGGCTCCCTACTTGTGGCCTGAGAAAGCAGTAAGTAGAGAGTGATCCAGAGCCGTGGGACCCTGCACCCACATTGGAGACCTGGAGGAGGTTCCTGGCTTTGGATCGGCTCACCTTTGGCCATTGTGGCCACTTGGGTAGTGAATCAGTAAATGGAAGATCTTCCTCTCTGTTTCTCCTCCTCTCTGTATATCTGCCATTCCAATAAAAATAAATAAATCTTAGCAACAACAACAACAAAAAAGATCCCAGGGTGGAGGGCAAGCCCTGCAGGGGAGCTGTGTCAGGGCTCACCTGCTGGTCACTACTGGTGCTGGTAAAAGTGAAAGCTGGGGCTGGAGGCAGATCAGGCTGAGCAGGGCTGCAACACTTGTCAGGCTGCATATAAGCTGGGTTGGGAGAGAGCCAGGTTGGGCTAAGTGACTGTATCCATTGGTACATGCATGAATGAGAATTACATGAAGTCTGATTGGGTTTTGCCACAGCATCAGCTGGCAAGTGCTAGAACTGGGATCAAGTCTTGTGAGGCTAGACTATAGAAACCCCTGAAAGTGCAAGATCCAGGGCTGGGAGGGACCCTAAGAGGGAAAATGTGGACACCTCTCTGATGGGCAGCAGATCCCTCTGGTAAGCATGAGAACCAGGGCTGGCACCAGCTGACTTGAGTGTGGGCTGGATAGAGTTGTTGGATTGAGCCAGGCTCCAATGGCCATTGGTGTGTAATAGAGCCAAACAGGATGTAGAACAGACTGGATCAGTTTGCTGCACATACCGGCATACACAGGAACCAGGGCTGGAGGCAAGCCTGATAGGGGTTGCTCTGTCGAGGCTTCAGTTCCCACTGGTGTGTGTGAGAGAGCAGTGTGTGTGATGGGTAGGGCTAGGGTGGATCACAGCACCCATTGAGTTGTGTATGAGATGGGGCTGGGGAAAAACTGACCAGGTGACTGCATCCACTAGTGTATATGTAGACTAATGTGGGTGATAGACTGAGCCAGATCCCACACACGGGAGTCAGGTTGGGGACCCCCTGCCTCCAACAACTAGATCATTAGACTCACAATTCCAAGCACAATAAAAATCACAGGATCTGTGATTTGACCATGTGGCACATGTGTCAAAACTGGGTTTCCTTGGTTGCCGAGTCCTGTGCAGTGGACAGCATGCTCAGATGCTCAAGGGAGACATGACAACTGGTTCATTGAGGCCTGCAGAGGACATCTAGTACCATGGAGCGCAGAACAAATTGGACAGCTCACCCAGTCAAGCTTTGACAGTATGTATTTGGGCAAATCAAGACTAAGGTGGACTATGTCAGCAAATAGACCTTGGGAGGATTTCCTCAATCTTAAATCAACAGAATCAATAGCATCTCAGAACTACTAAAACAATTTAAGTAGTATCCTATGAGCATGCTCCACATTGGGAACCTTGGGATGACATTGGGTGATCGTCCCCCATTCCTGGGTACTGATGTTATTGGGCTGTTGGGAGCAGCCATCGCCCTTCTCCTCCTACTTTCCCCAGATATAGGAACAAAAAAAGGAATTTGGGGGCAGTTGTCTCATCCAATTTCCCTCATTCCTGGATCTTCCCCATCCTAATTGGTGGTCCATATAGATATGCATCCCTCTCATGAAAGGGTTAATTACCAAGGTGGATGTATTCCAGGAACTCTAGAATCTGCTAAGAAACGCCTGCATCCTGTCATGGGAAAAACCCTGCTTTCTGAAACACCAGGAAGCAAACAGGAGATAGGAATAATCTTGGAATTTTTAGAATTCCCAGGAAGGACAGATTCTTTCAAGGCATGCTGTTTACTGTCTACATTGAAGTAATAGGATTGGAATCCTGAGCTTTTGCATATAAATCTTTATTGAATTCTAAACATGGTAAATTTTTTACCTGTTTTCTGCTCTATGTCACAAAATAACTTCTTATTATGTAATTACCCAATATCATGTAGCTAGTGATTTCCTCATAGATAATTGCTATGAAACCCCCATTTACTTTGTTTGATATGCTTCTTGTTCATGGCAAGAGGTGGCCACTCAACTGAAATTAAAAGCCACTTCACTCGCCTTCGAGTCTGGCAACATTTTCTTAAACTCTTACACTCTTACCTATGTAAACATCATCAAAATACATTTTTAAAAATTTTTACTTTTTATTATTATCATCATGTTATGATATAGTTGTAAGGGCCATGGGATTTCTCTTCCCTCACTGAGTTACCCTACATTATTACAATAGTACAGTTCTTTGTAAATAGTCATATGTACATCATTATGGGCATGGACAATGGCAGACAGTCCAGCATCCTATTGTCAAGATATTGTAAACAGTTTCATTGGGAGTTCATCTTTGTCAGGAAGTAGAGATGCATACTGCATTGTATCCTCACACGAGATATGATAGTCTGCATTACACAGTTACTATACATCCCCTTAAATGAAAAGCCACAAAACAAAATCAACAACAGGAAGAAAAATAGTTTACATTGCCATGAGGTTAAATAACATGAAAGTGGATATGATAGTCTCCATCACACAGTTATTATACATCACCTTAAATGAAAGACACAAAACAAACAAGAAGAAAAAAGAAATGAATAATGCTGTGAAGTTAAATAATGTGCTACTGATTGACTAATATGTTACCGAAGAAATGAAAAAATCAAGAACCTTCTTGAAGAAAATATTGCTCCTATATGATCTATGAGCCATTGAATAATTTAATGAGAAAGGAAGTACTTTGGAGAAATGAAACTAAAATGATCAAAATCCATGAGATACAGTTTCTGCTGATCTTTGTTGTTGAGATAGGTCTTTTGCAGAGAACAAATTGGTTTTGTTTTTAATCCAGTCTACTACTCTATGATGTTTGATTGATGAGTTTAAGCTGATTACATTCAGGATTAATACAAATAGGTGGCAATTTGGTCCTGTCATTTTAGCAATGGGTTGTTCATTGATTTAGTCTTCTGTTGTTATCTTACTTGGGATGTTCTTCACATTTGCCTTTGGTTTTGGTGGGTGCTATTCCTTTTGTCAAGGGATCATCTTTCAGTATCTTTTGTAGAGCAGGTTTGGAAGAGGCATATTTTAAAAATTTCTTTTTATCTCATTTTATGACACAGTTTCATAAACTCTGGGATTCCCACCAAACCCTCCCCCCATATTGAAATCCTCCATATTGTCACAGTAGTACAGATCATAATCAGTCATGATTCCTTCATGGTGGGCATGGACCACACAGAGTTCAGCATCTTATTGTTCAGACAAATTCAATAGTTTCCTTGGAACACTATCCTTGGTCTGAAAGTAGAGCTGGCAGGATATCATCCCCTCCAATGAGATGTCACTAAACAACTTCAACAACAGGAAGAAACATGGAAATTAACAACATCATGAAGTTAATTAACATGGTATTGAGTGATCAATGTTAGAAAATACAAGTTTTTAGCCACATCCTGTAACTATTTCCTTGACATTTCAATTTTAGTATATATACAACTGGTTGCTATAAACCTAGAAATGGTTCATAGGGTACTATTCAGCAGCTTACAGAATTCAAGCATGATTATTACTGAACTTTGCAAATTTTAGGATGGTCCAAACAGGCTTATAATTCTAACAAGCCATGTTTTAATGACTGAGAAGCAGAACAGTTTTAGGAGGGGTATGCAAAGCAATCAAGTGCCTTCGTGAGGAGTAACTGATCTTTGTGTCCTACCTAGTGAGGTATATGGTAGTTCAATCTGACTTTTTCCTGTCTGTTCTAAGCTTTCCCTATTGCTCTCTGTCTATCTGATCTAATTTTGGAGGCTCCAGAGTGACCCTGATGGTCATTGCAAGAGGGTGGAGAGCCAAAGTTGGAACTAAGTAAGGACCAGAGAAAGCTTCTCTTCTGAGTCCTGAAGGAAGTTTACTGTTCTGTTTCTGAGGACTGTTCAGGGCTCCTGGCTGTTGTTCTGATTAGATCTAGTGAGGAAGGATCTGGGCTTTGGAAGAGGCATATTCTTATAAAATTCTTCCACAGTAAAGAAAAGTTAATTCTTTTTCAAAGACAAAGGAAAGCTTTGCTGGATATGTTATCCTGGGCCAACAATTTTTTTCTTTTAGAGTCTGGAGTACGTCACTGTGAGAGGTCTCCTATAGATTTAATTACCATTCCTCTATATGTCAGTTGATTTTTTTTAAAGCTTTATTTTATTTTTATTACAAAGTCAGATATACAGAGAGGAAGAGAGATGGAGAGGAAGATCTTCCATCCGATGATTCACTCCCCAAGTGAGTGCAACGGCTGGTGCTGTGCCGATCTGAAGTCGGGAACCAGGAACCTCTACTGGGTCTCCTACGTGGGTGCAGGGTCAACTGCTTTCCCAGGCTACAAGCAGGAGCTGGATGGGAAGTGGAGCTGCCGGGATTAGAACCAGCGCCCATATGGAATCCCGGCATGTTCAAGGTGAGAACTTTAGCCACTAGGCCATGCCACCGGGTCCTGTCAGTTGATTTTTTTCACATGCACATTTAAGATCTTTTCCTTACGTTCAATTGAAGACAGCTTGATTATCATGTGTCGTGGTGAAAACCACTTTTGGTCAAGTCTGTTGTGAGTTCTGTGCTCCTCCTGGATGTGGTTTCCCAATTCTTTCTCTATATTAGGGAAATCTTCCCTTATTATTTAATTGAATACACCTTTAATCCCAGTGTCTCATTCTGCTCCTTCCGGGACTCCCATAACTCTTTTATTTGGTCTTTTAATAGTGCCCTTCAGTTCTTGAACACTTTTCTTGACTTGATCCAGCTCTGCTTCCAGCTTTTTGTTGTTTTTTTCCTGGTAACA